CCGTGTTTTTCAAGGAAAATGGGAAATCGCTTATTTCTGTTGTGAAACAGAAGGTAAAATTACATGTTTGATTTGTGGGCAAAATATAAGTGTTCCACTTTAGGTAATTATATTAAAATTATTCCTAAATAATACATAGAATTAAATTTCCTTGTATCAAAATCTAATGTATATTTCTATTTTGAAGTGCGGCCCTGGACTATTATTTATAGGACTGAGGTGGACCTCTGTACATGTTGAGATTGGCATGCCTGCTTTAGAGGAACATGTATTTCTGTATGACACCTGCATTAATTACAGATCTGCTGGAAAGTATCGATGAAAATTTAAACTTAAATTTTGTGATGAAAGAGTTCCCAGCAGACAAACAATTCATAATTTGGTGAATCAACTTAGAACAAAGGGACTCCTAACAGGCAAGAAAACATGTGCGTCAAATCCTTACTGAGGAGAAGTTAGACTTGAACATACACCTAGAAAATCACTGAAACATCTAGCTCGAGAGACTGGAGTGTCAAAGCCTAGCGCAAGAATGGCAACACATAAATATGCAAATTAAAGGCTACTGGATTTCACAGAATCCACATCTATACTATGAAGCCCTGCTCCATCCAGTGAAAGCTGGTGTCTGCTGTGCTTAAAGTGCAAAAAGGTGTAACCGTACGCACCCTTCACGGAGGTATCTTATCTGTTTATGCTTAGCGATTGGGTTTGGCTGTGGAAGTGAGATGCCCCAGAGGGTTCATGGTCCTCTGAACTGGCCTTTTGTTACGAGGGACAGAAGGGAGGTTGGTGAGTCCATTGCATTCGGGGGGGTGTAGGTATACCTCCTTTCTTCCGTGCCTGTGGGGGTGGAGGACCTGTGGATCGAAGCTTCAAGAACGTTCGAGAAGGTGTGCAGACCGGAAGGGGTCCATGCATTTGGTCATGAAGCCCTCCCAGTGGAAAGTTCGAGATGGCGTAGAACGTGGTTTCTGGAAGCAGCAGCGGGGGTAAGGGTTAGTCAGTGAGTGGAAGCCGAGGAGTCAGTGAGTAGAAGCCAGGTAGTGAGGGTGTTCCTGTGGAACCTGTGCTAGGGGGTTAACCGATCGAGCCCGCATCCAAAAAATGACGTAACCGAGCCAACACCCGTGCACCCCTGGGATATAAGACTCATTCCGCTGAATTTAGTCAAGGCATACACCGCGTGGAAGTAAAGCGTGTGGGGACGGGTGTAGTGATGGCGACCAGCGTTTGGGGCCCGAATAGTAGCGGCCGCATATAAACAAAGGACTCTTAACCACGTGCAGCTCGATAAGGATCGGTGCTTCGAACCCAGGAGTTCAAGATAGCGGCATCTGGACAAGAAAAGTGACATCGAGCAACTCTGCGGTGAAAAGGACGAACCAGGTAACAGATCGGAAGACTTGCATCGTGAGGGCAACCCGATTCATCTAGAGGAGAATCAACCCCGGCGATCTTAAGGTCAGGTTCGTGGAAAGTGAAAGTGACAGAGACAGACTAGGATTGTTAATAATCAGGGAAGGTATGATTACTCGCAGATATTTGAGAAACAAAAGGGTAATCGGAGACAATAGTGAAGAAGGTGAAATGATGGATGAGGAGACGACGCAGTTAGAAGGCGTAATTATAGGTGAGAGTGGGGGAGATTCAGGAGAAATGGACATGCAGTGTGGTCAACCGACAGAAGGGGGGACAGGTGGAATCAGTGAGAGTAGAGGAGAACAACTGACGAGTGCTGACAAAAAGGGGAAAGACGACCGAATAGATATGCAAGCGATAATGTCATGTATGAAGGAGATGTTCCGGGAGATTAGAGAGGAATTTAGGAAGGAGGGTGAAAGGAGAGCAAAAGAATTTAATGAAAGTTTGGAGAATATATTTGTGGTACACAAGCGCGAGATGCTGTCATCCATGAATCAGATCGCGAGTGACGCAGAACTGAGGACAGATCGGAAGATGGAAGCAATGAATAGGGAAATTAGCCAAATAACAGAGAGTACCAACGGACAGTTTCGAGCACTGACCGAGAAAGTGCAGAATAATAAAATTGAAACTACTAACAATTTTGAAATCTTGAGACAGGAAGTGACAGCATCTCACGCTCAGCAGGCTAAGCAGTCTGAGAATAGGTGTGAAAGGGTAAACCAATGTGAGAAACGAGTGGCGGAAATTGAACAGGCTAGCGGACAGATTAGCAAGCAGTATGATGTTGTCAGTAAGCAATATGATGAATTGAGGACCCAAGTTGATCTAATGAAAAATCAGAATCGAGTAGAAAGTAAGTGAAGGAGTTCAATGTATGGGGATTACTAACCGTCAATCGGATTCTAGGATTGAAAAGACCCTCTCAAGCTCAGACATCATGATTACTCATGTTAATGAACCAATAAGTAGTGAAGTTTCATGTAATGGTTCTAATCCTCACAATGACGTCAATAGTCAGGAGAAAGTGTGGAGTGGCAACCCTGCAGAATTTGTCAGAGGGATCCTCAGTCACCCCGTAGATCTCACATTACCAATATTCGAAAACAAACCGGACCAAAACGCCCAGGCGCATTTGAATTCCTTAGGCGAATACATACAAATTAAGAATATTCCTCCACCGCTTCAGTTAGCTGTAGCGCGGCAATCTTTAAAAGGCATTTCAGTCATGACGTGGGCTGACGCTAATTGGGATCAAATTAAAACGTTTGAGGGATTCCGCAGAGCTTTCCTGGACAAATTCTGGAGCCTCTCAGGTCAGGTAAGGGTTCGACTCCGGATCTATCAGGATAGATACGACCTGCGAGGCGCAGCGAACTACTGTGACCATCTTATGAAGTACGCTGTGAAAGCTAAATACCTAGAACCTCCGATGTCCAACCTAGAATTCTTTCAT